GAGTGGAGTCATACACAGATTATCCTTCTCTCACTGGCTTATTTCACTTAACATAATTCCCTCAAGGTCCATCCATGTTATTGCAAATGGAATGATTTTGTTCTGTTTTACAGCTGAGTAGTATTCCATTGTATATATGTACCACATCTTCTTTATCCATTCGTCTGTTGCTGGGCACTTAGGTTGCTTCCATGTCTTGGTTATTGTAAATAATGCTGCAATGAACATTGGGGTGCATAGGACTTTTGGGATTGCTGACTTCAGGCTCTTTGGATAAATACCCAGTAGTGGGATGGCTGGATCGTATGGTAGTTCTATTTTTAATTTTTTGAGGAATCTCCATACTGTTTTCCATAGTGGCTGCACCAGTTTGCATTCCCACCAGCAGTGTACGAGGGTTCCTTTTTCTCCACAACCTCTCCAACATTTGTTACTATTAGTTTTAGATATGTTTGTCATTCTAATGGGTGTAAGGTGATATCTTAGTGTAGTTTTGATTTGCATTTCCCTGATGATCAGCGATGATGAGCATCTTTTCATGTGCCTATTGGCCATCAGTATATCTTCTTTGGAGAAATGTCTGTTCATGTCTCCAGCCCATTTTTTGATTGGGTTGTTTGATGTTTTGTTGTTGAGTTGCGAGAGTTCTTTATATATTATGGATATTAAGCCTTTGTCAGATATATGACTTGCAAATATTTTTTTCCCAGTTAGTGGGTTGTTTTTTTGTTTCAATCCTGTTTTCATTTACCTTGAAGAAGCTCTTTAGTCTGATGAAGTCCCATTTGTTTATTCTTTCTATTGTTTCCTTTCTCTGAGAAGGCATGGTGTCCGAAAAGATCCTGTTAATACTGATGTCAAAGAGTGTACTGCCTACGTTTTCTTCCAGAAGCCTTATGGTTTCAGGTCTCACCTTTAGGTCTTTGATCCATTTTGAGTTTATTTTGGTGAATGGTGAAAAAGAATGGTCAATTTTCATTCTTCTCCATGTGGCTTTCCAGTTTTCCCAGCACCATTTGTTGAAAAGACTTTCTTTTCTCCATTGTATGCCCTCAGCTCCTTTGTCAAAGATAAGCTGTCCATAGATGTGTGGTTTTATTTCTGGGCTTTCAATTCTGTTCCATTGATCTGTGCACCTGTTTTTGTACCAGTACCATGCTGTTTTGATTACTGTAGCTTTGTAGTATGTTTTGAAGTCAGGGATTGTGATGCCTCCCATTTTGTTCTTTTTTCTCAGGATTTCTTTAGAAATTCGGGGTCTTTTGTTGCCCCATATGAGTTTTAGGATTCTTTGTTCTAATTCTGTAAAGAATGTCATTGGGATTCTGATTGGGATGGCATTGAATCTGTAGATTGCTTTAGGTAGAACAGACATTTTAACTATGTTTATTCTTCCAATCCATATACATGGAATATCTTTCCATCTCCTTATGTCGTCATCCAGTTCTCTCAGAAAGGCCTTATAATTTTCATTATATAGGTCCTTCACTTCCTTAGTTAAATTTACCCCAAGGTATTTTATTCTTTTTGTTGCGATTGTGAATGGTATTGTGTTCTTGAGTTCTTTTTCTGTTGGTTCATTACTGGAGTATAGAAATGCTACTGATTTATGCAAATTGATTTTATACCCTGCAACTTTGCTGTAGTTGTTGATTACTTCTAACAGTTTTCCAATGGATTCTTTGGGGTTTTCTATATATAAGATCATGTTGTCTGCAAACAGCGAGAGTATCACTTCTTCCCTCCCTATTTGGATTCCTTTTATTCCTTTTTCTTGCCTGATTGCTCTGGCCAGGACCTCCAGTACTATGTTAAATAAGAGTGGTGATAGAGGGCATCCTTGTCTCGTTCCTGTTTTCAGGGGGATAGCGTTCAGTTTTTGCCCATTGAGTATGATGTTGGCTATGGGTTTCTCATATATGGCCTTTATTATGTTGAGGTAGTTTCCTTCTATGCCCATTTTGTTCAGAGTTTTTATCATAAATGGCTGTTGGATCTTGTCAAATGCCTTCTCTGCATCTATTGAGATGATCATGTGGTTTTTATTCCTCAGTTTGTTGATGTGGTGTATCACGTTGATTGATTTGCGGATGTTGAACCATAGTTTTTGGGAGGTTTTTGATTGCTGTTTTGATCTCCTTACCAGTGATCGATCTATTCAGATTTTCTACATCTTCTTGGTCCAGTTTTGGAAGGTTGTATGTTTCTAAGAATTTATCCATTTCTTCTAGATTATCCAATTTGTTGGTGTATATCTTTTCATAGTATTCTCTTATTATCTTTTGTATTTCTGAGGTGTCCATTGTAATCTCTCCTCTTTCATTTCTGATTTTATTCATTTGAGCCTTCTCTCTTTTTTTCTTGGTGAGTCTAGCTAAAGGTTTGTCAATTTTGTTTATCTTTTCAAAAACCAGCTCTTGGTTGCATTAATTTTTTCTATTGTTTTTTTTAGTCTCTATTTCGTTTATTTCTGCTCTGATTTTTATTATTTCCTTCCTTCTGCTGATTTGGGGCTTTGTTTATTGTTCTTTTTCCAGTACTTGTAGGTGCACTTTTAGATTGTCTATTTGGGATTTTTCTTCTTTGTTGAGGTAGGCCTGAATTGCTATAAACTTCCCTCTTAGAACTGCTTTTGCTGTATCCCACAGATTTTGGCATGTCATGTTTTCATTTTCATTGTCTCCAGGAATTTTTTTATTTCTTCTTTGCTTTCTTCATTGACCCAGTCATTGTTCAGTTGCGTTTTGTTCAATCTCCACATTTTTGTGGCTTTTCTGGTTCTCTTTCTGTAGTTGATTTCCAGTTTCATACCTTTGTGGTCAGTAAAGATGCATGGTATTATTTCAATCTTCTTAAATTTATTGAGACTTGTTTTGTGGCCTAATATGTGCTCAGTCCTGGAGAATGTTCCGTGGGCATTTGAAAAGAATGTGTATTCTGTGGTTTTTGGATGAAATGTTCTGTATATATCTACTAAGTCCATCTGGTCTAATGTGTCCTTTAAGGCCAGTGTTTCCTTATTGATCTTCTGTTTGGATGATCTATCCATTGGTGTAAGTGGAGTGTTAAAGTCCCCTACTATTATTGTGTTACTGTCTATTTCTCCTCTTATGTCTGTTAATAATTGCTTTATATATTTAGCTGCTCCTATGTTAGGTGCATAGATATTTACAAGTGTTATATTTTCTTGTTGGATTGTTCCCTTTATCATTATGTAGTGCCCATCTTTGTCTGTTATTACAGTTTTTGTTTTAAAGTCTATTTTGTCTGATATAAGTATTGCTACCCCCGCTTTCTTTTCTTTGCCATTTGCATGGAATATCTTTTTCCATACTTTCACTTTCAGTTTATGAGTGTCTGTAGGTCGGAAGTGTGTCTCTTGTACGCAGCATATACATGGGTCTTGTTTTTTTATCCAGTTGGCCACCCTATGGCATTTGATTGGTGCATTTAGTCCATTGACATTTCAAGTAGCTATTGATAAATATGTATTTATTGCCATTTTGACCCTTTTTTTCCCCCGGGTGTTTTAGTAGTTCTTCTCTGTTCCTTTCTATTTCTCTTGCTCTCTTCCCTTGTGGTTTGATGGATATCTTTAGTAATATGTTTGATTTCTTTTGTCTTACTTTTTTTCCTGCTTGTTATAGGTTTCTGATTTGTGGTTACCATGAGGATCCTGTTTAATATACTATGCATATAACAGTCTATATTGAGTTGATAGACTCTTTAGCTTGCCCTCTTTCTAAAAGCTCTACTTTTTCTCAAAAGATCTTTCTTGATTGAATGAATTAGTGTTGTTATTATATATGAATTTAAAAAGGAATCGTGAAAATCTAAGGACATAGGTTTCTATGTTATCTTCTGTAATTATATCTATAATGTGGCAGCTTCACCACTCTGCCTCAGTTCTTCATTATACATGGTGAGGACAGTACCTGTTGCTCAAGGTCACTGAGAACTGAGTGAGCTACATGTAAACACATGCAGTGACTGGTCCCTAGGGAGCCACCATTGAACGGTGGCTACTGCAATCATGGTAAGCAACATGCAAGTGGTAGCCATTTTAATAGTTCTGCCATACTTGTATCTTTAGACAGAAAGATGAGAGTTGTCATGATTTTTGTCTATCATTTCTTCTCATTTTTTACCCTGGACTTTTTTTTTTTAATAAAAGCTTCAAAGAAAAAAGTTCATAAGAAAATAAAACTCAAATGTTAACAGTGGTTATCTCTAAATAGTGGAATTGAGAGAGCTTTTTGCTTTCTTCTCGATGTTTTTCTACATTTTCCAAATTGTCTGTAGTATTTATATGTTACTTTATCATTAAGTGGAGGAAACTACCTTTTTTCTCCATTTTAAATAAGAAAAAGAGCACTCAGCATCAAAGATAACACAGCTGCTGAACTAAAAAGGATACTCCATCTGAGGATGATTGAGGCCTGGGAAATGGTGCCCTGCTCTGTGCTGCTTTGTGGGATGTTTTAATGCATTTAATTGCATTAAATTTATAGTGTTAAATGCATTTGGTGCATTTAAATGCATATTTCACATTCTGAGAAAGTTGTGAAGCAATTGTTAAGAATTGGGGAACTAGAACCATTGAGGAAAAGTAAAATGATTTTGATTAATTGTTTCTGGACAAAGGTGGTCAAAATACTTTAAGTCCTGTAACAGACAATGACTTACATTTAGCACAGCTGCTTTCCATTTCCCCTGGAGAGAACAACAAAAAGAAGCTCAGTGGAAATTATAGCAGAAGGGGTTAGAAATGGAAGTGAATGGTTACCACACTCCAGGATACGCTTCCGAAGGAGGATGCTTAATGCCAGTTCCTAGAGATATTTAAAATAAAGTCCTGAGCAAATAAACGCTGGTGGTCTTTTCATGTCTTTTTCTTGCTGATTCGTAGACACCACCAAGCTTTCAGTTACTGGTTCGGGCCTGTGCTTTCTCCCCAATTCATGGTAGTGTATAATCTTTTCATGAAACTTTACTTGCAGATATTTAACACCGTGCCTGATACGCCTCTCACCAATGCCCAGCTGCACCTATCTCGGAAGAAGAGCAGTGACTCCAAGCCCCCGTCCTGCAGCGAGAGGCCCCTGACGCTCTTCCACGCCGTGCAGTCCACAGAAAAACGTGAGTCCCGCTGCTCAGGGCCAGCGTGGCGCTGGAGGGGCGTCCGTCCCACCTCCTGGCTGCTCAGCACGCACACCTCCAGCCTCTCTCTGTGTGCCGCTGCCCCTTGTGTCCTTAAGGACTGTGTATCCTTCTGCCCTCCCAGGCTCCATGGCTGAGGAACCCCGACAGGCCAGGAAGCAGTATTGCTGAGAATGAAGGGCAAGGGCCACCCACTGTTCAGGACTCTCTTTCCAGGTTTCCTGTGGGCAAACAGCTGAGCCACCTCTCCTCCTGCTGCACAATGAGAGCTCAGCTCAGGCAGCACTTCTTCTGGCCCTCTTTTGTTAGGGGCTCCCAAAGAACCTTCCTCTCTTTTTCTCAGTTTATAATTAAATGCTTATTAGGGCAAGTCACATACCCCACTAGAATGTGACTCTGTGAGGGCAGGACCTTGTTTTGCTCATCCGTCTATTCCACCTCTCCCAGGGCCTGGTGTGGGGTAGGCACTTAATCATTATGTGAAATTAATTAATGAATTAATTAGAGAATAATACCTTCCCCCTCTTGTTCCAACTAGCAGTGTTATCACTAATATTGTATCAAATCTTTTTTTAAAGATTGGCAACAGGGACCGGCCCCGTGGCTGAGTGGTTAAGTTTGCGTGCTGCGGCGGCCCAGGGTTTCGCCGGTTCAGATCCTGTCTGTGGACATGGCACCGCTCATCAGGCCATGCTGAGGCGGCATCCCACATGCCACAACTAGAAAGGACCCACAATTAAAAATATGCAACTACGTGCTGGGGGGCTTTGGGGAGAAAAAGGAAAAATAAAATCTTTAAAGATTAGCAACAGATGTTAGCTCAGGTGCCAATCTTCTTATTTTCTCTTTCTTCTCCCCAAAGCCCCCCAGTACATAGTTGTATATTCTAGTTGCAGGTCCTCTGGTTGTGCTATGTGGGACACTGCCTCAGTATGGCCTGCTGAGCAGTGCCATGTCCACGCCCAGGATCCCAACCAGCGAAACCCTGGGCCAGCAAAGTGGAGCGCGTGAACTTAGCCACTCGGCCATGGGGCCTGCCCCTCAAATCTTTTTTCCATCTCAGGATTTCTGAGTTCTTTGCAGTGATCAAGTCACTGGGCCCTAAAATATCCAGTCTTGTTTGGCTTTTGTAATCCGAGAGTTGAGTAGTGTGTTTTAGGAGTCGAGGGCCCCAGCTCTGCCTGAAGTCAGTCAGACTGGGTTCTTGTGCCCCGAGCAACACACAGGCCCACTTTTCCCCTTCTGTCAGCCTCAGTTCGCTCGTCTGTAAGGTAAGGATAATAGTGCCTCTTTCATAGGGAAGTTGTGAGGATTAAATGAAATTATGCATTTAAGCATCTGGCCCAAGGCCTGGCCATGGCAAAGGCCAACATGGCAAAAGCTGAGAGCTGCTGCTATTGTTATTAGTCACTGTTTAATCACACGCAGGTACCAAGGCTAGTTCATTCACCAACCAACTTTTACACAGCGTCTGCCAGGGACTGGGAATATAAACATGGGCCCTTATCTTTAAGGAGCTCACGACTGAGTAAGGGAAATAGACGGTGAATAGATAATAGTAAGCCAATGGGATGCATTCAGAGAGGCGGGAGGGTGGAGTGGTCAGAAGCACACCCCGGCACCAGATTGCCTGGGTGAGAATCCTGCCTCTGCTGCTCATGGGCTGTGTGTGACGTGGGCAAGTTATCCCATGTCTCAGGGCCTCAGTCTGCTCTTCTGGAAAATAGGAATGTAAGAGTTTCTACCTCACCAGGTTGTTGTGAGTTTAAAGCACTTCAAACAGTGCCTGTTGCAGAGTTAGGTGCTCAGTAAACGCTGTGGAGGGGGGCGTGTGATGTTGTTATTGTTATTATTATTATTACCATTACTACCTCTACTACTGATCTCTCTGAGGTACAATAAAGGCACAAAGCAGAATAATGTCCCAGTTTGCCTTGAAGAGGAGAGGTTCCCTATCCAGATTGGCATCTTTCTATTTCTTTGTTACAAAAAATGTTTTTTTATCCGCTTGTAATTCAGAAGTAATGGCCTTCCTTATCATTCCTCCTGAAAACAAATCTTCCTGCCCCCAGAACATGACTGCATTTAAGGATTTCATAGTATCCCACAGTGTGGCTGCACTTTGGTGTATTTAGCACCATTTGGGTTGTTTCAGATATTTTGCTTTTATAAGCAAAGCTACTGTTATCATCTTTGTAGCTAAATCTGCTCATATTCATGATAATTTCCTTAAGAGAAATTCGTGGAAGAATTCCTAGGTCAACAGATACGCACGCTTTTCGGGCTTTGACCTCGTGCTGGGATTGGCTTCCCTTCGAATGATAGCCTGTGTTTCTTCAATATCTGGCTTGGGTCTGCACACAGCCTGGGCCCCTCCAAGTGCACAGGGAACCCTTGGAACAGGCCTGGCCTCACTCACATCTGCCACAAACAAGGCGTCAGGCTGCGGGGCGAGATGCCTCTCAGGTTTCCAAGAGATCCACAGTCACTTCCATGTTCTGTGCCAAGCACCGTACAGTGCAGATCAGGACAGATCAGACAGCATTGGTAAATTCCTCTAAGCTTAAAATAGTGCGGAGTTTGCAGTTAGATTGAATCAGAAGCAGCTTTGGAACAGATCTTAAAGCGTACTCTGGGAGCATGTAAGAAAGAAGATGGAGATTCAGAGAAAATCAATTAGATCTTTACCCAGGATAAATCTTATCACACAGGCAGAGGATGAAAGTGAAGGACGTGTGAGAGCAGACCCGCCTCAGTCGCAGAACAAGCTCCCGTGGCCCCATCTATGGACGGTGGACCAAAGGATGCAAGACAGGAAGCAATATATCTCTCCTCTGAGTGTTAGGAAATGTCCCCTGGAAACAGGACTGGAATCTCCATATGCTCGGATGTTTGTGGGGTGCTTAGCTTTCTCCCCTTTCTCAGAGAAGAAACATTTTCATTGAAAAGTATATAGGTGTGTGTATATACATACACTTCTTATAGTTTGTTTTGGAAACCACTTTTTTTCTGGGAAACTAGAATGATATCCAAGCTGGCTTAGAAAGCACCAGAGGAGGGGTGGGTGAATTGATGCTGTGAGGAAGACGGCCAGTTGGAAGGTTCTGCCCGCACTCCCGCCTCCTAGGTTGTCATCCAGCCACGCATCACTGTCGGATGAGCATTTGATGGTGCTCAATAAAGTTTTCATACACCTTCATCCCTTTGTCTATCAAAGCACTTTGCTGCATTTACCTTTAGAATTAAAGTACAGGTAAAGACCCCGCAGGGAATTTTTGGGAAAAAAGTCCTATATTTCCATATAATGATGTTTTTCAGTTAAAGGCCTCTTCCCATACCTAGCTCAGTACTTCCCAAACTTGAATCACATACATACACCTTCATTCACTCTTTGGGCCACAACCACATAACTCATGCTCTGTGGTTTGTTTAATACATTTTTTAAAATCTATTTTAAAGAAACTCACTTCTTTACATGGCCTACTCCTACTCAGTAAAACCTCTAAAAACATGAGTTTGATGGTCTCCTTTTACTGTTCACTAATACACATTAAAATAAATATCTACCCATTAAGATAAAGAATGTTCATCCACATTCAAATTGTCTTGTGTCCTGCCTGTGGAATGTGTACCACAGTGTGGCGTCCACAGACCTTGCTCTGAATTTTTTTTTTAAAAGATTTTATTTTTTCCTTTTTCTCCCCAAAGCCCCCCAGTACGTAGTTGTATATTCTTTGTTGTGCATCCTTCTAGTTGTGGCATGTGGGACGCTGCCTCAGCGTGGTTTGATGAGCAGTGCCATGTCCACGCCCAGGATTCGAACTAACGAAACACTGGGCCGCCTGCAGCGGAGTGCGCGAACTTAACCACTCGGCCAAGGGGCCAGCCCCTTGCTCTGAATTTTTGACTGACTTAGGTCTTTCCTCTTAACGTAAATATACAAATTCAAGTTTCCTTTGTCCACTCAACTAGAATTGGGTTCAGAGATTGTCAGCTGGCTGTTTATATCATGGTGGACACTCACTGTCAATCTGTCAATTTTATGCTGTGCACTTTTGGTTCTTTGTGATACCTGTCCAGGGTTGATGTGACCTTCCCTCTCTTTACGTTCTTGCCTCAGAGCAAATACCTTGTTAGAGGGATCAGGCTTGTGTGGACACATACACACACACACAAGCACATGTCCACATTCCTCTCCTCTACCTTCAATCTTGGCATATGACGTTTTTCAGAGCCTCATTTCCGCTTTTGTCTGTCTGCCTGATCTCTTTTGAGTTCGCTTCTGCATTTTCTCCTCACTGATGTACTTGCAGTGTAATATTTTCATTGGTCAGCCCTCTCTTCAGTCTCCAGTGGAGATGTGTAATGGGCCTGAAACTCCCAGAGTAGCTCACATGGGTGCCTCTTTTTGAGAGGTCCCTGGTGTTGGTTGTCAGCACACATTTTTCTCCCACCTCTCTGCAGTGTCCCCTGCTCTGTGCAGAAGTTGGAGCGCATTCTTTTCTTGCAGACGTGAATCTGTGCCAACACTCTTGGCCTCAGATTGTCATGGAAGTATCTGACATATTAGTTGATGCTCATGGATATGTTTTTTATTTTCCAGAAGGAGTTTTTCCTTCTGTGTAAGTAGACCAGTTGTGTGCCCACGCACCTCCATAAGACTCTTTTTCTTTAATCCATGGATAGTAGTGGAGTCTTTGCCAGGTGGCTCTTTCTTTTTCCCTAAAGGTAAAGCTGTCGTTATGATGACAGTGGTCTCTTCCCAAAATGAGGGGCTGGATGCTTTCTTATACTCTGCTGGGTAGGGTCTTTGGTCAGTTATGAGGCAGCATGTGGCTCCTCGTAGATAGTGTGTGGTGAAATTGGGGCTAGGAATGAAATGGGAGTAGTCTCTGAAATTACAACTTTGTGGAAGAGAACGAAGGAAATAGAGAAATGGGGGATTTAGGAAGTGTCATAGCAACAAATGCAAATCATTA